CCACACTATATTACAGTATAGAGAGACACAGATCTATACAGTACAGAATACCACACTATAGTACAGTATAGTGAGACACAGATCTATACAGTACAATATTCCACAATCTAGTACAGTATAGTGTGACTCATATCTATACAGTACAGTATACCACACTATATTACAGAATAGAGAGACACAGATCTATACAGTACAGAATACTACACTATAGTACAGTATAGTGAGACACATCTGTATAGTATAGTGACTCATTTCTGTACAGTACAGTATATTAAGACGCATCTGTAAAGTACAGTATACCACACTATAGTACAGTAGAGTGAGACAGATCTATGCTGTAAAGTATATTACAATCCAGAACAGTATAGTGAGACAGATCTGTACAGTACAGTATACCACACTCTAGTACAGTATAGTGAGACACATCTAAACAGTACAGTATACCACAGTATAGTACAGTATAGTGAGACACATCTATACAGTACAGTATACTACATTATAGTATAGTATAGTGTGACAGAGATGTATTCAGTACAGTATACCACACCCTAGTACAGTATAGTGAGACACAGATGTACATTACAGTATCCCACATTATAGTACAGTATAGTGAGACAGAGATGTATACTACATTATAGTACAGTTCAGAGTGAGACACAGATGTATACAGTACAGTATACTACAGTACACTGTATACAGTACAGTATACTACAGTATACTGCAGAGTGAGACATGTATTAAATGCAAGAAATTACATTTCTATATAGTAGAATTTACCCAGCTCTCCTGTCCCTCTCTTCCTCTCTCCTGTCTGTCCTGTGCTCAGTGCCCTGGGGTTCCTGGTTCGATCATGTCATGGGCTGGTGGAGAGACAGACAGAAGCACCAGATTCTCTACCTCTTTTACGAGGACATGAAGGAGGTGAGTGAGAGAGAGAGAGAGACAGGCAAGTGAGAGAGAGAGAGAGAGACAGGCAAGTGAGAGACAGATGAGTGAGAGAGAGACATACACACTAGCTGAATATTTGACCAAAATAAAAAATTACAAACAGAAACAGACCCTGACGAAGTACAGGCTCAGTGACCACAACCTGGCCATAGAAACTGGACACAGGCAGACCTGGCTGTCCAGAGAGGACAGGCTCAGTGTTCACAGCCTGGCCACAGAAACTGGACACAGGCAGACCTGGCTGTCCAGAGAGGACAGGCTGTGCTCCCACTGCCAGCAGGGAGAAATAGAGACAGAGGTGCACTTCCTACTGCACTGTGACAGATACTCTGGGATTAGAGAAACATTCTTCCCCAAATTCAGAAAT